CCAAACCAGTCGGTGATTCTATGATCTTTGTAGCAGGGGAATAATGGCTCAGAAGCTAACCCTGAAGAGCTACCTGCTGTTAGCCTCCACATTTTTTTTCATTGTGTGTGTGTCCCCAGTTAATATTTTCATCCTTCAAAGTAGCATAGTACAGTGTCAAAGGTAAAGTTGTAGTGCTTTTCAATTACTTGGAATATGTAATTCATTTAAATCACCCAACATTTTTTTGGATCTATGACGTAGGCCATCCTGTTATCAATTAAAACCTATGGACAGGACTACAAACTAGGCAAGAGCAAAGAAATTGAACTACTCTGGAAAGATGTGAGAATTTTCTGTCTCCCTATGTTGTTTTTTTCAGCCTGTGGTGCCAGAATGCTGTCGCTTTCTGTGCCCCGATGAAGCACAAACTCTGGACCCACATGAAGGGTCAAGGGAGATCCCAGACGCAGTACCTGTTTTCCCTCTCCTCCCCCTCAGTTCTTACCAGTTCTGGTCTGGATTAGACTTCCTGAAGTTGGATGATGTATCTTTTTCAGGATACAAAGCTAAATCTGTACCTGCTCTGTACAGAAGTTGGTTAACAAACCCATAAGCTTAAAACATGCCAGTTACTGTGTAAGTTAGCTATCTAAAGCTATTCAAGATTTTTTTTCCTTCTAGTAATAAAATCTAAAAAATTAAGATATAGCTCCATCTGTATCTTTCATATGCATGTATTTGTGTGCTTTCTAGTTGGAGCTGTTATTATGCATATTTCACATATAAATTAGCAAATGTTTTTGTTGTCTTGATCTTTTCAGTTAAACTTCTTTCAAGAAATATTACAAGGGCTTCCTTAATAAGACTGTGCCCAGCAGAAACTATATATTAGTGCTTAAAACCTTTAGTATAACTGATTGAAGGACATACAACTCTCAGTTTTCTGTTAACAAAGTTCCCTACCTGCAGACAAGTATCATCTTCCCATTCTTTTGAGCTGTGTCACCTCCCTTTATCAGCTTTCAGTTTGTATCCTGCCTTGAAGGCTCTTTGCAACTGAGTCCATTCCCTGTCTCCCTCTGCTCCATGATCAGGGCTGGTTCCACATGCTACTCCAAGCAAATCCTCACTAAATGATGGAAATTGAAAACATGATATCATGGTAGAAGCTGTGTTTGTGAGACAGACACTGACTGTTACTCACTTGCTAAGAGATTCAAGGCAGGCTCTCCTCTCTGAAAAATACAGATTTTGTGCTACTTCCCTACATGACAAAGGGTCTATGAAGATTAATTTTGATAATTAGGTTTCATCAAAGACTTAGAGATGCTGAGCTAAGCAATAGTAAAAAGGTGACTTTTAAACATCTCACTCTTGTTACTCACCATGAACTAGATCTGTTTGAGATACCTTGGAGCAGAACGATCTGAATGTCTCTGGTCCCTTAGGATGTTGTCCTTCCCTTCGAGGGGAAGTGTTGGAGCACAACACCCCACCCCAGCCCCGGGGGGATGAGGCAATCGAGACAACTTCATTATGTGTGTGCTTTTGTTTACCCTCCTTCAACCCTGAGGAATAGGGTTGTACAGATGGGCAAATGTGCAGATGGGCAAGGTTGCTACATACTAGAAGATGACACCAGAATTCCCATTTCTTTAGGGCCTTCCACACTGCTTTTAAAAAGAAGCTTGAAGATGTCATAATGCATAACACCCTTGAAAAAATATGTGTGAAAGTAAGATACCTTGATAGGAAAGGAAATCACTGTATTTGGTGCTGTCCAGTCTACGTGCACAGCACTGAGCGCTCCTAGATTTTTGTGTGTGTCTTATGTAGGTAAGAGGGATCTTTTATAGAAAATTGAATAGACAGAAAATTTCTGCTGCGATCTTAGAGCAGTATGGCCTTATATGTACTGTGTAATAATCCAGTCCTTTTACATTAATTCCTTCCAAATGAGAACTATAGGCCATGATTCCCTTTAATTACACTGGTTTTTGTGTTGTTTTCCAGGACTTGTCTGTCCACAGTGTGATGTTATTTGCCAAGCATAATTTCAGATGCAGCATGTGCTATATTTAAAAAGTATTCATCCTCTTTTGTTAGTCCAGCTTTATAAAATTCAAAAAGAAAACCATCTGTGAAAACATCTCTTTAACTAATTTTACCATGAGAGTTGTGGTGGTGCTAATGATAATTATACTAGAGATAGAAAATATACTTGTGTTTTGTTGCTTGGCAAGTAGAATTAGTTAATCATAGTACAAGTTTCTCATAAAAGTCCTCTGGATTATAGGTTTCTGCCACAAAATCTAGGAGTTTATTGCTATTTATGTGTACCAAGATTGCAATATCTGAGCTGTTTCTAAGTAGAATTGATCTTCACGGTGCCTCTGTTTAAACTGTGCAGCATGTTCTCTGAAATTCTTGGTCTTTCCTTGCCTTTCAGGCTCGCGCAGATGGAAAGGACCAATGGCTCCTTCCTCACAGACAGTAGCTCCACCACGGGAAGTGTGTAAGTAACTCATACTCACTAAGGCTGCCAGGAACTTTGGTTATAGCTGCATGGTATAATCTTCATAAATTGTAACACAGGGTTTAATCTTAGGGAAAGTAGCTAGTAAGTATGACAGTAAGGATGCCTGCCTAATTTTCAGTGTTCCAAGCACCAATTGTAGAAGTTGGTGATGTTCATTTGATGATGTGAGGGAACTCTACTTTTGTCAGTCATTCTGCTTCGAAAGGGAGGATATTTCATACAACTGGAAAAAAGTCACATCTCTATAGGTTCTACTTTGTATTCCTTTTCTGCTTTTATCAGATTAGAAGAGAAATCCTTCTATGTCAAAGTGGATGATGGAGCGGGTCGATAGCTTATGCTAACTACCAGGACACCTTTCTCTTTGAAAAAAGAATCATCTATATTGAAGGTTCTGCAGAGCCAGAACAGTGTTGCTACTTATTGCTTAGATTTCATTTGGTGGCTGCTGATCCATCTGTTCGTACTTGGGGATATAAACATATACCCCCATTAATTTTATCAATGCCATTTTCTTTGTCAAATTATGTGTCCCTTTTATTGTAAAACCCTTCAGTAAATGCATTAACCTCACTATATCATCAGTTCTGTTCATTCAGTCAGTGTAGTAAGACTCCTCCTCTCTTGAGTTATTAATGGATGTCATCAGCTTTTTTAAAGAGGAAACAGAAATAATTCTTGTTCAGCTTTAGTTAGAGAAATGCTATTGTTCTCAATAATACTTTCATTTACTCCTTTAAAAGCTAATCATAAAATTAATCTACCTATGTACGTACTATTTGAGATTTAAAATATTTTGCTTCAGAGAAGCACTTGTGATCACCTTTACCTGTTCCTTCTTTCCTGTTTAATTACCTCTGTTTACATAACTAATAAAATCTTTTTCATATGTAACTGTTTTCATGTGTTTGTCATTGGTAGGCTCACCAATGGCAGAAATGCAGCCAAACTATTCCCTTTTGATTTCCCTTAAAAAAAAAAAAATAAGAGCAAACATACTGCTGCTTGGCAGGGAATGCTGGAAACTTGAAAGCAGCTAAATGCCATGCACTTGATCAAGTTGTTTATTTTGCAAATAATGAGTCTGTTCATATACAAAGCCCAAACAACCGTCCATCCCAATGGCAAAAGGAGTGTATGCTTAATTTTTCTGGCAAATTAGCTGTTGATTTTAGTGCAATTTCCCTGCTCACCTCTAAAAATTACCTTTATTTTAAGAAAAAAGAATAAACGTGGTGAACTTCTGTACCAACATGTGAGACAGACTTTTGAATTTGAGTCTCAGTCCTGTTGTCAAACAGGGACCATTACACAAGTAAAATATGCCAAGATACAGAGGCCAGGGAGGACAAGAAAGTAACTTTTGTACAGAATGGCACCTTCTGTTTCATTTGTAGATACTAATGCATGCTTTCATTAAGGTACATACTGAAGTACTCACAACATTCTGAAGACCTGTTGTTTAAAGTTTGGAGTTAAACTATTGCAGGGATCACTACTATGAAGTTTGGATCCCAGTTTGGACCACAAACTACCACCTACAGCTGGAAAATTGGGAGTTTTAAGATTATAGTTCAGCTCTATTATTATTATTAAAGCGCAGTTTGACAATAGAAATGAGCATGGTGTAATCATTCTTTATAGAATCCTTGAATTTCAAGGAGCAATTTGAAATTTGGATGCACTTTTCTTCAGCTCAGGTGTCCCTGCTGTAAACCTACCTCAGCAAAATCTCATTTTCTTAACGGTATTCTTTTGAGCCTTCAGGAGATTATCACTGGGTTGCAAATGGAATTCTCTGCTTCTTGTAATTGAAGTTCTGTGATCTTATTTTTATTGCTCCGCAAGAGTCCTTCAGTTTACCGTGAGCCTAGAAGAGAGGCATAGTTGCACTTAATATTGGAAAGTTACTGTTTTGGTCTTGTGAGGTTAACAAGTTTATCAACAATCCATTTAACACTCTTCTTGCTCCAAAGAGTATGTATAAGAAGTCTTCTGTATTTGAATGCCAATAAGAGAACTTCTGCCATCAGTAAAACATCATGAGGTTTTTTGCAGGAATGTTCTGCAATGTGCCAGTTGGTTAAGAAAAAATTCTTCAAAATTTCTTGGTTTTTAACTAACCTGTTGTCTTGAATGTCTTTATGACTTCTTCTATCTCCCTAATTAAGCTTTTCTACCCATTCCCTCCAGGTATGTGAATTCCATTAAAAAACACATTTTCCTCCATTGGAAAAATAGTTATAGCTAGCAAAATAAAAGTAAAGTCATGGTCTCTACTATCCTATGTCCAGCTTCTTAACAAACACCCTAACGCTGTCATGCGTGAGTTTTCTGATATAAATATGTTGAATAAACATTTTTTTCCTACATGCCATTTTCTCTATGGATTTCTAAATGTTTAGGCCAGACTGTTCTGATGAGTTTTCTTCGGCTTTAATTCATACAAAATCATCTATTACCTGAAAAACAGACTGGCCTCTTCACAAGTGAAGATGGGCATAAGGAAAAAATAAAATCTTTGCAACAAAGAATGAAAAATAATGTCCCTAACAGAAAGCTTTGCCTCACAATTTGAAAAACCATGGCAAACTAGAATGAAAAACATTGTTAGGAAAGTAGGACAAGAATGTAACCTTCTGACTCCTGTAATGCATGAAATATCCTATCTAGCCATACTGAAGTTGAGTGCACGCGACATGGTATAAATAATTTCTGCGTAAGTGTGAATGTTTCATAGCTGGTTTATGATTAATGCCTTTATTACCAGTCAACTTCATGTCTGCAGCACTGTTGATGCCACTTCACATTCAAGTGAAGGCAGAGTTAGAACGTACCTGAGATTTTGTTAAGGAACTGTGCACTAAGGTGCAGGAGTATGAACAAGCAGTGAAGGCCAGTGGTACTTTTTGCTGGCACTGCCACTCGGTACGTTACAAGTCAAACTGCAGCCCCAGTATGTAGTTCCTGAATACTTTAACATGATATAAGTAGTTAAAAGACATCTTATCACAATGAGAAATCAGTTCCACATGATGATAAAGTTACAAGAACAACACATATTGGAGTGGCTTCTTGAACCTTATTCTAATACTTCTCATAGCAACAGTAGGTGAAGGCACACTTTATTTGGACTAGAAGGCATGGTGCTTAGTGTGAAAGCCATAGGAAAAATGGAAATGATCAATCAAGGAGGATCACAGATACCCACATCTTACTATCTGAAATCTAATTTAACAATGTTTTCTTAATCAGATGAAATAATACACTGATGAAATGTGACTGTCAGGAAATCTGAATTTTTCTTTCTGCAGCGTTGTCTTAAGTCAAGGGAGGTTATGTGCAACATTATTTGCCTCTTGCTTCCTCCATGCATAATGCATTTTTTGGAACAGACCTCTTGAAAATATATATCTACAAAGAGAATAGGAAATTTCAAAAGCCATTTTCCCTGTGTTTCCTTGTTGGTATGTTCTTTTCCTTTGAGATGAACTTCTTTCAAGTGTGACCTCCTGTGACGTCATTTTTACTGCTTTCTACTATGGTGAAATGCTGAAAAGGAGCTGCAGTCTCTGCTTTTGAAGGACTTTGTGTACTTCTAGCCTTTTCTCAAAGCATGCAGGGTTTTCAGGAGAATAACTGCCAAGAAAGGATGACAAACTTATCATAGAATGGTTTGGGTTGGAAGGGACCTTAAAGATCATCTAGTTCCAACCCCCCTGCCATGGGCAGGGACACCTTCCACTAGACCAGGTTGCTCTAAGCCTCATCCAGCCTGGCCTTGAACACTTCCAGGGATGGGGCATCCACAGCTTCTCTGGGCAACCTGTTCCAATGCTTCACCACGCTCTCCGTGAAGAACTTCTTCCTGATATCTCATCTAAACCTCCCCACTTTCAGTTTACACCCATTACCCCTTGTACTTTTATTTTGGGGATGATTGCCATCTCTAACAAATTCTGCAGAAGAGACCTCCGGATTCTCAAATTGAAGGTGTTTGAGTGCCACAGAGCATGTGTCATTCCCTCATTTTGTAGGTTATCGTTAAGCCCAGCCCTGGGACTCCTGTGCTACTAATGAATCTATCTTAATTACAGTCATGTGGTTTGCTGGTGCAGGGTCAAGGTTCAGGTTTTTGAACCAGTAATTTTGCAAGACAGGCCAGAGTTGGAACACATGGTAAAAATAGACTTTTCCTTCGGAAGATTTCTTTTATCAGGTACTTCCTCCAGCCTGCTGTCACTTGCAAGGTGTGACCCCTAAAAATAATCTGTCAATATTCAGAGTCTGTCCTGTGCAGACTCAGAGACTCTGCACCAGTGAGAGAGGAGAAATTTTGTCTGGATTGAAGGACTGGGAGTCCACACTAAAATTATGTAGAATCCTTCTTGAACAATATGTATTTAGCTGTGTTCGTCTCACTTACTGGACAACAATACAGACAAATGTATCTAAGAATTTACTGGGTAAACTCTTTCGGTAATTGGTTTATAAGTTTCATTAAAAAATTAGATTGCACCTAATGTAAAATCTTGACAGAATTTCAGATTTAATAAATTCAAATAAGTATAATAAATCCAGCTTTAGATAGCCCTATTAAAAAAAAATTCAGATGACCTACATAGTTGTTCGTAAACTAATTCATCATTCAAAAATGTAGACAACATCTTTTTGATGCCCAGTTAAAATAACCAGGCTGAACTACTCAATCACGTGAACATTTCCTGACAACATCAACACCCTTGCGCAAAAGAAGGCTGTACGTGGAGCTACACTGTACCATCTAAAATAATTTGTGGAGAGTGTTTTGAGGCATGGATGATACAGCTGTGTTCTCTCTCCTGTCTGCTCTAGCACTCTGTTTTGGGTTAGCTGAAGATGTGACATAAAATCGCCAGCTCTTCCCAGCTTAGTGCAGCCATTCCAGTCGCAGAGAGGGGATTCTGCACATTTTTCAGGGCTGTAGAAGTTACATCACTTTGGCAAAAATTTAGTTATAAGGGGGAAGTCGGGGAGGGGAGTGTTATCAAGGTGGTTAAAGAGTGGAGAAGTGATGAGGTTTTCATTATCGCATCAGGACCTGATCCAAACTTCTTTAACCGCACTAGCATTTGCGATGACTAATGCAAAATAGCAAAAGAAGTGATGATGAGTTTCCCTTAGACTCAGGTAGTGGAGAAGAGAAAACAATTAGAGGCTTTTTTCTGTAGGTAAGCTAAAGAAAAAAGGAGCACTGTTCAGTTTCTTTTTCAGCTAATGCTGTCAGATATCCCCTCTATTTTTGAGGGACTTAAGCAGACATGCAACCCAAATTATATTTTAATTATATAGCTGTATTGAAGTAAAAATTAATTACATTTTCTCATTTGCATGGGAAGATCAATACCGTCATTTTCTCTCATGAGTATAGTACTGACTACAGCCATGACAGCTAAGAAATAAGTGAATGTATATAATTTCTTTTAAACTTTCAACTCATTGTTAAAAGTGGAAGCGCTCACTAATTAGGTTCCTTTTTCAGTTTTACATCCAAACTTTCTCCAAACCAGTAGTTAGATGACAAAAGATAGGATGAAGGAGTGTGACATGCAACCAGAGCTCTGTGGAAGGATGTCCGAATCCCGACTTTTTAACCTTTATCATAAATTAACTTCTATGTAATAGAATGCCATGAACTTTTAAAGTGGGTAGGACTGTCACAGGTTATAATTTTTTTTGTTTGTTTTGGTTGGGTTTTTAATGTATGGTGCTGCTTAATGAATACATGTTTGACTGCAGTAGTCTAGATTTTAAAATCTCATTGGAAAGTCTGAAAGTGGAAGACCACGTGATAGCTTTGGGTAGATAGAGAATAGTTATCCTTGAGAAGAAATAGTTCAGAGTTGTTCCACCGTAGGATTAGACTTTAGTAGAAAGATTCTCTTAAGCAGTACTACTAAGAACCAAATCACTTTGCTGCATGGTAGAAATGCTTTTCTAAGAGAAGGACACCAGGAATGTGTTGGTGCTGCTTTTAAATGGATATTTATGTACTGAGCTACCAGAAAATCTTGGTTCAGCAATATAAAATAGGGTCCTCCATTACACCAACACTATGCTTGCAACTCTCATTTGTTCCTGTCGCATGCATTTGCTCCCTTTATCCCAAAAGCTTGAATTTATTTATGAGAAAAACTCCATTCCATGTGCATGGACTGTAAAACACCTGGTATGTTTTACTTGTACGTGTGTTTATGAATAGATTATTTTTCACCACAGAAATAACTTCTGTTTCTTCCAGGTTTTCCTAGTTCTAAATAACTTGGTTTACTATTCATTCAAATGAGACTGTTCATTTGAATCTTTTGTGATGAAACAAGTTAAATTTACTGACAGGAAGTTCTAAAAAGCTTCTTGAAAAGCTCCACTACAGTTTTACTTGGAAAACAAATCCTTTGCATGTCATGAACTTCCTGGTTTTTTTGTTGTATGTGTTTTCAAAGACAGTCCTTGTGGATACTTTCATTCATAAGACCACAATCAGTTAATAGCAGAATTCATAGCTATGTCTTTCACACAATTGAAGGAAAAAGGTCATCTCAAGAAATATTTTTAAGATGAAAAAGTCTGTTTTCTGAATAATATTTGAAGATATATATAAATATATGCATACATATACCTGCATATATATGTATGTACACATCTCGTGTTTTGCTCTCTGTTGTTGACCATGCTTTAACTGTAGAAGATCTTTAGGATAAAGTTTGTCGGGACAGTACCTGACATAAGGTATGCAGTCTCTGTTTTGTAATCAAGCAAAGTAGAGAACTTAAGGAGGATTTTCCTCAGCATTCATACTGCTGACACAATTTCTTTCCTAAAAACATGATAATATATGTTTTTCTGCTGCTGATTTATCTTCTTGAGTAAGCCAGCAATCAATCTATTTTTAGGACATGGTGCCCTTCACGTTCTATCCATGTGACTTTATTTATGGAGAAAAGCCAGCAACTTGTATAGGAAGACACACCTATACAAGAGCAAACTCATTTCAACAATATAGCGTAATTGAAAGTGTCAGGACTTCAGTCTCTCCTTACCAGAAGGTATTTTCTATGCAAGTTAGCAGGAGGACAGTGTTATAGTTTATTTTTATCTCTGAATCTTTAAGGAGGAGATCTGCTACCTTTGAAGAGTTTCAAGGTATATGTGTAGACTAAAATGAGGAAAAATAAATATAATGCTAATTCGAAACCTACAGCATTATTTTTGCAGCACTGTCAGTCCCTTTGTGCAGTACACATTGTTAGCTGGATACTTGATGATTCATTACTCTATGGCTTCTGGAAGAATTCTGTGGAGACTGTTTCTTTCTAATTTTATTAGGTAAATTGAGCACACCAGAATTGTCTCCTATAGAATGTTAAAAGTGTCAGCTGTTTATGATTAAAAAGAAAAAAGGAACTACCGGATAGCTTGTTTGGTTTTATATAATTTAAAGGCAGTTCACATTAGTAGTTGTTGGTTTATATTATCTCAGATTCTTGCTTTTACTATTTATTTTCAAAACACCAGCAGCATTTGTTTTCATGCATACATTAAACTGATCTTTTGAGCTACTATACATCAATCTTCTTTTTCTTGTGAATTGTATGCTTATATGGTTTTTTTTAGTATATTTTTTAGAAGCAACTCATAAACATTTAAATACAATTTGCTGAGACACACATCTGACACTTATATACTAGATTCTTGCAGGCTTATTTCCTGCTCTCTTAGTCCTTTTTCATAAACAAACAATCAAACCCCCTCAGCTTGATAAAGCTATTTGCTCACATAATAAATGTTTTACTGCTCTGTCTTTATATGTGTTGTTTTATTGTTCTAGAGAGGATGAGCATGCCCTTATCCAGCAGTACTGTCAGACGCTGGGGGGAGAGTCGCCTGTGAGCCAGCCACAGAGTCCTGCTCAGATACTCAAGTCAGTGGAAAAGGAAGAGCGAGGAGAGTTGGAACGCATCATTGCTGACCTCGAGGAAGAGCAAAGGTCTCACAATCATCCTCCCCGGTGTCTGAATTGTCACATTATTTTTGTTTGAGCTACACATGTACTATATATGATTGTTGGATATGAGAAGAGATGGACTTAGGAGTCATGATTTTAGGGGAAAAAAAACAGTCGAGGCATATGTTGTGCATAGCCTGACTCTGTCAGGTAGAAGTGGGTGGGTCTGTGATAACACCTTAGTTTCACCTCTACTTTATTAAGTTTTATGACTTTTTCCCCATAAACCACAAATCAAGATGTTGTCTTTATGTGGGCTACTTGTGTTCTGTAGTTGGAGGTGATGATAACATCATTTGATCTAAGGATGTTTTTTATTTTCATTTGCTTAATTAAGTCACCATTCTCTTCTCCTTTTCAATACACCAGGAGTCTGCAGATAGAATATGAGCAACTAAAGGAGCAACATCTTCGAAGAGCGATAAACCCTCTTGCATCACCTCCTGACTCCGTTGTGTCACCTCAGCATGCTTGTGAAGATGCCGAGCTCATTGCTGAAGCTAAACTCCTGAGGCAACATAAAGGTCGCCTGGAAGCGAGGATGCAAATATTGGAAGATCACAATAAACAATTGGAGTCTCAGCTTCACCGGCTACGGCAGCTACTTGAGCAGGTAGATGTGTGCTGATGTCGTTTCCCTGTGTTGTTTCTTCATGATGGATTGCTTGGTGGAACAAAGGTGTTGGAATTTTACTGCAGATATTTTCACTGCACCAGCTTGATCTATTGCACTTGGTCATTTCTAGGATAAAGAGAGATTTTTTTTCCTACCCTCTAGGGTAAGGCATGGTGAAAGTCAAATGAGCACAGGATAATGACAAGCGCTGGAGAGATTATGATAACTTAGGAAACACTGAGATTAACACAGACAAGTACAATAGTTTTTCATTAATTAAAAAGCAGGGGAAGAAAGTATATACCCTATTCCAAGTAGTGGTGCCAGTCGCACCCTGTCTTTGACTTCAGTTTTCCAATCTTTCCTTAAATAATTTACTTGTGGTCTTAGTTATGCACTGCAGCCTTTCTCAGCGTGCCAAAGGCAGATAGCCACAGATACATCTGAAATGCAAAGGAGCAATTAATTCCATTAAAAATCCAGTTCCTCTTTAGTAACATACTTAGACCAATGCTCCAGCAGAGTAGTTTGTGCACAAGTAAATGCTGAAAGCAAGAGCCTTTCAGTAGCAAGCAATGGGGGGGTTTCTTTGTTGGGGGAAGAAATGTCCGTTGTTTCTGAAGTCAGCATGCACACATCTGGATTATAAAAATAACAGCAACAACAAGGTGTGGTTACAGATGTTAGTTTCTACTGTATCATGTGTGGAAGCTTGAATGACAGAGAGAAATTTGCATTAATGTTTTCTCCTAATTAATGATGACACATGGATCGGAGTACAGTAAGGGAAATGATTCCTAGCTTCCGTGAGTCAGGTGACTGGTTGTACCTACTAGAGGATTTAACTAAGCCAAGAAACAGACCGCAAAAAACAGGTATAAAAATGGTATACATAAAACTCTCATCACAGTGATAAAGATTAGTGTTTGTTTGGTTTTTTCTCCCTGGCTGTCATTTTTTCTAGGCAATGTTGACTGAATGGCATTAAGATGCATTTGGTCCAATGGCTTCCCTACCACTCTAGCAGAGTATTTTTGTTGTTGTTACTGAGATTCTAGTATCTTTAATCACTGTTTGAGTACCTTAAATTTCACAGGGAAGATAACAAGTGATGCAACTGTTAGCAATCATTCATGAAGTAAGTATCTCGAAAGCTGTGCCCAATACTAGGTGTATTGCAGACAGGTTAAAAATCTGCAAAGAAACAGCTGTAGAATAGAAACACGGAAGTTCTGCCAAACACAGAGTCATTTTTAGCTTAGTCCTTTATGCAGGAACATGTTCAGCCTTGAAAACTTTCTTATTTTCTGATGTAGCTGTGGATAATCTCATAATTTTGTAATGTTTTCAGTACCCTTATAACAGTCTTAGAGACACCTTTAGGGTATACGTGTGTGTTGTGATAAAGTGGGGTGGGGCAAGAGGAGGGGCAATAGCTTTTTCTAATTAGCTCTGCCTTTGGATTTTTCTGGGCATTCTGCAACTTGTGGTTTCTGATAGGCTGAGAGTTGACTTTTTTCCATATTTCAGCTCATTTACACCTCATTAACTATATACTGTTGCTGTTTTGCTTCCTGTTTGAAAACTATCCCCTTTGTGGAACTCATACATGCTTCTGATTGTTCCAAGTGCTATTCCCAAAGCTATTCCTGTTTCTCCTGTGTCTTTCAGGAGGGACTGGTACAAAGTCAATTATATGAGAAGGTCGGCATTATTGCTTTAATAATATATCTGTGACTTTTCAATTTGCCTTTCTATATGCATCTAAATTTGAGGGTTACTTTGGCCTACCACTAAGAAGATTTTTTTCAGGCTGTCTCCAAGGATGTTGAAGCTACTCCCTAAAGGGGATTCAGAAATTGTAAATAATTCATACTTTTATTATATGTTCTTTGGAACTTCTTTATTTAGACATTAATATGATTATGAAGCATCACTGAATCCCATTACTGCCCCCTTAACTTTCTGAAAAAAGGACCACCCTACAGCATATTTGTTTTCCTGTCACCTAGGCCATTTGCACTCTAAGACAGTCTGTACCTCTTTTACTGCCTGAGGAAGGACTTAATCAGAAGTCAACTGAGGATCTAAGTACATTTATTTGTTTCTTTTGGTTTTATTGGCTGTCCCAATTGTTTTTTTAGTGGATATAAAGAATGCCTTTTCTCATTAATGAGATGAATGATTTGGATGGAAGATTCTCATAAATTTCAATGTCAAAATATGCAACAACTCTAATTCCTGCAATAATAGTTACTGGTATTAAAGGACACAACTGTTTTACAGCAATTTCTTTGCTGCAAGTGCATCTCTGTTTCTCTCTTGTGTCAACAGCAAGTCTCTCCATTTCTTTTCTCCATTCAGCCTCCTCACTGCTGTTTGGATTAATAACTTGCCACTGAATCTAAAATACTGGGACTTTCTTCTCTAAAAGATACGGAGTGAATCTGTCTACACACAGATATTTGGGTAGAGAATTAATGAAACCTGGGAACTTTTCCTGTAGTAATTGTTTAATCTAGATGAGAGAGCATTCTAAGACGTTCTTTAGGGGGCACCTTCAGCAGAAATATGCACTGCACATTTGCCTACTTCAGGTCACAATTCTGAGGTTACCATACTATTTTTATTTTAGCAAGCCCAAAGGATTGGTGGCTGTCACACAATGATGTCATTTTTGTCTGCCTGATTGATTATAGTGCCAAAGAGGAAGGTGAAACAGAACTTCTGTAATACAGAAAAATCCCTCAATTTCAGAGGTTTCTGGAGAAGAACTTGTATTTCCCTTTTTATCTTTGATTTTTCCATAAAAGGACGTTTGAAAACTCCCAGAAGCTGGAGTTGGAAACTTCCCCCTCATTCTTATAAAGGAATGCTCAATCTCTCTCCTTTTATTTATTCAGGAAGAAGAGGCAGGCATATAGTAACATCAAGGACTATTTTTTTATGGGTTCTGGCTTAAGCATTGTCTGCTGGGTTGTTTTGAATAAGAAGGCATGAATTTCATGATGTCTGAAGGAGGTTGATGATGGAAGTGATCAGATTTTGCAGGTGTTATGCAACTGGGGTCAAGTAGAACATAATTTTCTATGTTTTTTTCTCAGGTTCTCTCCCACTACAACTGTTAGATCATGTCACTCCATGCAGCTATATCCTCAACTGTTTTGCATTTAACATTTTTCAGTCTCTGATTATTATATTAAGGCATTTATGCTGCTACCAGAACCCTTCCCTTTCTACTCCAAACCCCATTTTTCATTTGCTTAACTGTGTTGTCCTGGTTTTGGAAGAAAAGAGATTTGGTTTGGTGTGGTTTGGCTTTTCTTGTTATTGCAGTCACAGTAACTATGTAGTGTAACATTTATCAGTATATTTAAACTAAAATGAAGTCATCAAACTCTGTCCTGATTACAAGGGGATATTGTTTTTTTGGGGTTTTTTAAATACAACAGCAATATTTCATTCTGCCTGCTGCAACAGTATTAGTTACCTCAATATAAAGTATTCCAAGTATGTGTTGTTTGCTCTCAGTTTATCTGCTGTTAGAGTCCTCATGCTCTGCAGGGTTATTTTTGTCATTTGCAATAGCACTCTTAAGTGGTACTAAATAACCTTTACTACTAGCTCATCACTTATGTTCCTAGGCATCTCTCTTCTGTCCTAATTCATCTTGACTTTACAGTGCCTCACTATCCTTGATCCTAGCCTATGTGTTCCTGTACTGCAGTTTTGCATCAAGTCCAGCACCAAACTTCCTTCCTAAGTCACCCTCAGTCATCTCTGCACCATGTGTCCGCGGTTAATGCTTGAAGAGGGACAGAGATCCAGTGCAGGTGAAAGTTTGCATTTTGGATGATTCAAGTTCTCTTCGTCCATTTGTTTGTGGGGTGGGCAAGCAGCCACAGTGCTGCTGGAGTTAGCCTTGTTGTTCTGTACTGAAGGAGCTCTTAACCCTTAGAGAGTTTGCTTCATCTCTTTACTTACCGTTATAGCTCTGACCTCTTCTTGAACAGAGGTTCCTGGCTATACAGAATTACCTGGAGTTAGTTACCCTAGGCCTGGCCTATTTGAAGTCACCACACTCATTTTATGTAGACCCTGTAGCTGGGTGGAAGCCCAATACTGAAGAGCAAATTAATGTGTTCACTGTTCATAGGAATGTCTTGATGGTAAAATCCTTTGCTGGCTTGAAAACATTTCCATTTTTCTTTGTCTTATATACGCAGAGCAATATTTCTTGATTTATTCTTTTAGTCAAAGCTGAAAGTTGGTTTTGTCATGCTGAAAGAAAGATGAGTTTTGAAGGATTGAGACAGATTTGCTGAGTGCTCAAGTGAGCATTTCCTTGTCTTTCTCACTGCTGTCTATGGAAGAAAAATTGTCTTTCATTGTTCAACAGTCTTCAGTTTTGTTGAAGATTATTTTTTTTAAACTGCAAGTTGTCTAAAAAAATTGAATGTTGCACTTAGGCTGTGAGCTGCAAAGGAGCAAAGCTGAGCACAAATTACTGCCATTCAGTATATTACCTCTTTGCATCAAGTATTGTAGCTGCTCTAGGTACTTGTTTAGTTTCAGTTCTTAAAAGTAATGGTAATTTTTTATTACTTCTGTATCTGCTTTTGACAGATTTACTTAAATAATCTGCTCTTTAAGCTGTTTGGAAGTAATTTAAGGATTTGCAATCAAAAAGATAAATTATAGGCACAACCCTTTCAGCCAAGATTCTATAACTGCCTAAGATGCAAATAATATTTCACGTGCTTCCACTGTTTCAGGACAATCACTTCTGGAGCTCAAACACTGTATTTCTACTCTCTTCTTCAGAGGATTTCTTACAAGAAAGAAAGCAAAGATGAAAAAAAAATGCCTGAACAAGGCCCTACCCATATTACTGAGTTGTTATAGTGAAGAAGTCTTACGTTATTTTCTTAATTTGTCTCCATATACGTAAATACTTGTACATAATCTCAAACACATACATTGCTACATCTAAATGTAATACAGAACTTCTGTGTTTGATTCTTCACATGATTTTAAGAGTTGAGAAAGGCCTTCCTACAACACAGTTTTCAAAGCATGTGTTCCTTCTCATAATTTTCCAGAGATTAGATAGTACATAGTTTTCCTGCAAATTTGGTGTCCTCCACACTATTGTGAAGCAGTGTCAGCAAGAGCAATGGCTAGCTACTGCTTTTTAGATTTTACAAAGTTCTCTTGAATCTTGTTTCTTTGCTTCGCTTGATTCTGAAGGAGTTTTGAAAACTGTTCAAGACTGAAAAGTTGCTTCTAAGCATGATCAGCCATCCTAGTAAAGCTTTTTCTCAACGTAAGAACGGTATCAACTGGTTGGAGTGAGTCCAGAGGAGGCCACGAAGATGCTCAGAGGGCTGGAGCACCTCTGCTATGGGGACAGGCTGAGAGAGTTGGGCTTGTTCAGCCTGGAGAAGAGAAGGCTCCGGGGAGACCTTATTGCAGCCTTCCAGTACCTGAAGGGGCTACAAGGAAGCTGGGGGGGACTTTTTACAAGGGCCTGTAGTGACAGGACAAGGGGTAACGCATTTAAATTGAATGCAGGGAGGTTTAGATTAGATATCAGGAAGAAGTTCTTCCCAGAGAGGGGGGTGAGGCACTGGAACAGGTTGCCCAGAGAGGCTGTGGATGCCCCATCCCTGGAAGTGTTCAAGGTCAGGCTGGATGAGGCTTTGAGCAACCTGGTCTAGTGGAAGGTATCCCTGCCCATGGCAGGGGGGTTGGAACTAGATGGTCTTTAAGGTCCCTTCCAACCCAAACTATTCTGTGATTCTTAGGGGTCCATTGCTGAATGTCCTTGGTGTGTGTGTGTGTGTATCCCTACATACATCACAACCCCAGTAATACCATTGTGCACTCTTGCTGTGTAGCTGGACTGAGAGCCTTGGCAGACTGTTAGGTTGTATATAACATTGTGTTTCTATGATACCTGCTCACAAGAGAACATTGTTTTTAACAAGACTATCAACTGGAGTCTCATAAGAATGACACTTAAAATATTTAGACTTAATAAATTGTTGGCTTGGTTCCACCACCACCACCCCCCAACAGTTGTATAAACCTAAGCCAATTATCAGTAGTTTGAACACCAAACAAGAAAGAGCACATCAAAAAGGAAAGGAGCAGGATGACTACATTTGAGCCCACCTCAAATTTTGTAGATACAGTTTATCTAATTTGGGGTATTACTGTCTTTACTGTAGCCTGAGTCGGACTCCCGGGTTAATGGCGCCTCTCCCTGTGCTTCGCCCCAGCACTCTGCCCTCAGCTACCCACTCGAGCAAGAGACAAGCTCACAGTTTCATCAGACAGGTAAGTGTTCTGATCAGATAATGTGCTGTCTGGGTCTGTAGGTGAGTACTGAATAGCTTTGTTGGCATCTTTTTGAAAATACTTACAAATAAAAAGGAAGTTATCTTTGTGATGCTACTGGGAGCAAGACAGTGCAGCTGGAGCAGTTGGTTCCCTGTACTTGGGGGAACAGCTGCAGTATCACAAGAATCTGTGTGACTGAATTACGGATTTCTGTCAATATTTGAGCAAGTGAATTTACTGGGTAAATCCATCCTCACTGTAGGGGGAACCAGATTTTGTTGGACTGAAATGGCCAACAGCTGTTTGTCTAACAGTACACGCATGCACCCAAGTCATCTGTTAGATACAGGAACAAATGTCCACAACATGTAATCACAGCTTCCTGATGGCTGCTTTAAAAATTTTTGTATATCATCCTCTTACTTTGGGATTTTGATGACCCTACTCCTCAAAGACTTCACATCAATAGGAATTATTGAGTATTTAAGAGTATACAGCCTTTACACATGAGGAAATTTCTCTCTTGAAATATTATTTTAAATTAGCAGGGAATTAGCAGAAATAACTATAGACTATTGAACGTTCAAAATTTGGGGGGGGGGGAAATTTCTCAAATTCTCTTAAGTGCAATTTCCTTGCTGTTTTTGATTTCAAGGCTTTGTGTGATAGATTAAAAAAAATACTTTATATCTGTAGAAAGAGGAAAAAGATTCCACTGCATACTGAAAAGTTTTTAATGCAGCATTGACATGTGGTTTACTTAAATTTATCTAGAAAAACATGGAACATCTTTGAGTCTGATTTAATGCAATGGTAGATTTATAAGAGATGCTGTCTAATACCACTGCCAGGAACAGAGCCAGTTGCATTCCCTAACTGTTCTCTTGGCTTAATTTTAAGCAGCATTTAAAAAAAAAAAAAAAGGCAGGAAGGATTTTAACACTAGTGAAATTGCTGGTGCCTGTTGAACAAAGACCATCTAAAAGATACATTATTTCTCAGAAAAAGAATGGTCTATTCACTCTGGAAGTTACATGAAAAATCATCTGAAAATGGAACAGAATCTTAATTGAGCAACTACCAAGTATAATTCCCTCATCTTGTAAACATTTTATTTATTTTAGTTACAAATTCTTGTATACTGCTCCTTGTTGGCAATTTCTTCCAGTTTAAATCTTGGGTGCAATGGTTAAGCTTTAATAAAAGAGAAATGAGTTCTGCTGCAAATCAATAATGTAACTTTCACCTCCTCTCCCAGTGCTGGCAATTATCAATGACAGTTCCTACACATTAAGTTACAAAGGCTTCGGGTAGTGGTTTCCCTTGAAATATGAGTATTTAACTGGAAGGTTGGATGAGAATGCCTTTCAGAATGTTGTCCATCTTTTTCTTTTCTCATTACTGAATTCATTGCTCTTTCTTTTGTTGTCCTATCTGCAGATGACTTGTTAGTTCCACCCCATGATACCAACACAGATCTAACAGATGTTATGGAGCAAATCAACAGCACATTTCCAGCTTGCTGCTGTAAGTGTAACAAAATATGACTCTGAGAATATCATTGAATTTGAGGTGGTTTTTCAAAGAAAAAAAAAGAAGTCATTCTTGTGATATTGACTAGGAAAAAAGTATCTGTGCTGAGATTTCTTGTCAAGATATACAAGCTATTCTGTTCTGTGAAGTTGCTCAATATACACTTCTTGTGAAGGGAAATAAACAAATATTCTCATATTTTAAATGGGAGTTATTTACTATATAAAAAAAGCCTGTAGCTCCATATGGATTTTTCATTTGTGTCCATGTAAGAAGGGAAGAGAGACCTAGAATCCTATTTGTCACAGATGTAAACCCTCTGTAGAACTTAACTGAATGTAGATTCAGAAATGCTGCTCAAATAAAACTTGAAAAAAAGTCCTTAGGCAACTGTAGGTACTATAACCCAACTCTGACTGCCTGAACTAATTAATGAACTAGTTGTTAAACTAATTGACCAGAGGAAATAACTGTTAACACAACACATAACACCTTTCTCTGCTTAAATGCATTGAAAGTTGATATTTTATTCAGTGTCTTTTAAAGAGATCAAAAGGAAAACCATTTAGTTTCATATGTATGGCGTATATCAGCTGACAACACATTTCCACTGATCCTGTTCCTTCCAGGCTGTCCCTGCACTTAGAGTGAGGGGTTCTCTCTCTCTGGTTGCAGCAGTATTTCATACAGATTGCTGCTTTTAATGGGGGGGTGAAGTGACAACTTTGTTATTCGTGTATTTTTGGTTCTTTTAAAGATATGCATTCATATATATCTTCACTTTCCGCTCTTTTACCTTAGAAAAACTGTAGTGAAAACTTTGATATGTTCTTAAACTTTCAACAGTTCTTTCAAATGACATGTAATTGCAATGGTCAGCTTTAAAAGGCACAAGTGAGAAGGTAGGTGTTTATGCTCAGTCCTCCTGGAACCACTGAGATTGAACTCTATTTCGTAAACTCTATGAACCCTGTTAAAATACCCCTTTTATCTCTTGTGCATTCATTGCTTGGCTGTGAAGAACTGAGTCACAGAAGATGCACTTTGCACATTTTGAGAAAGCAAATTAGGATCTAGCAGAAAAGGTTTTGTTTCAGCTGTCCTCTGTGATGTTCAATAAGTTCAATAGTTCAGAGCCCATCGCTTTGCAAATTAAGGATTTGATTCTAAGGAGCATCTCTTCTTGAAGTCAACAGCTAGTGGAGCAACTCAGGGGTGTGTATGTATACAAGCCAGTAGAAAATGCAGATCAAGTATCAATTCTTGTTTTTGCAAATTCCTGCCTTGCATGTATAGGCAGTATTGCAGCTACTGGACATTTGACCCAAATGAATTTACAGCAAATTTACAGAAATGCTCCCTGTCATTCCTGTGTCTGGGCAAGTTTGTAATTATATTTGCTCTCCACTTCCAGGAAACATGGCAAAAAAAACCCAAAAGTAATATCCATAAAACAATGTCCTGAATGTAGCAAAAAGGGACTGCAAGTGAAAACCATGGTCCCACATCGTTTCATATAGTGAAGTATTTCTGAGCATTTAAGATTAGAAGTCATGGTTCCAAATTTCATGTGATTTTTCCCTTTGTCATTGACATGCTGCTGCAGAAATCTTGACTGAAAATCCCATCTTGACTGTAAAACAAAGCCAGTAGTTGTCTTTGCTATATCTATTTTTATGGGTTTCAAGTTATAATTAGTCTTGAAATCAGTGGTTCTACTTACTCCAAATATCCTTTAGGAAACAATTATTCATATAGTAAGGCCAGCACTGCCCTCATGGGGTTTTTTTTTTGGGTCCCCAGATCCTTTGATGATGGATATAATGCCTCTTTTCCTTCCTTGTTTATGAGGTTGGTTCTCAGAACTAGACTGGCGTGCACCATTGGGCAGAATTCTTACCTGTACATGCAAGAGAGTTCCAGAACAGAGCATTTCAAACACATGGTATTATAATACAGCACTCATAGATCTATATGGTCTACGGTGAGTGATGAAAAAGGAACAGTTCATATCATTGGTATATTCCTAATGCTATAAATTTGTTAGAAGGAAAGTAAATTTATGAAGTTATGTATATAGACCATTAAAACACACTTTTAGTCATTCTGTTCTTCTGTAGTACATATTTTTCTGCCACTGGCTTTGTTTCTCAACTACCAAGATGTAAATTTCTAACTTGAATTTGTTTTTTCTATTTGCAGCAAGTTTCACTGGCAGACCACAGGTATGAGACATGTTTACATACTTGCATAGTCATTGAGAGCAAAGTAAAGCAAGTGGAAAAGTTCAATTAAAGCTAAGCAATGGGGTTGTTTTCTGTATTTTTCCCTAGAGGTCTATTTGGAAGCTAGACTGATGTAACAGGAAGACTTGATTCTGGAATATGCCAGATAATAGAAAATTTCTGCTAGTTCAGGCATTAGTGAAGATACTATGGTGTGCAGTTCTGGGATGCTGACCAGATGGAATCAGCTCGAATGTATCAGGGCCACTTAATTTCAAGCCAGCATCAGCTCTGCAAGGCCAAAGCTGGTCCTTGCAAAGACATCCATATATCCTGATGCCCATCGCTTCAGTTCCAGGAGCTATGGGCATCAGGACAAAAAGGACAAGAGCCACACAGCATTTTAAGCATTAGATTAAGCTGCCTTCTCCCAGTAGCTAACCACTTCACCAGCAGAAATTTGACTGTTTTCCACATTTTTATGAATTGTGAAAATAATCTATGTAGATACTTGTTCTTGAAAATCTAGCTGGTATGAATGATCAGTTACATTTCTGTTCTAAGTCACAGAAATAGGAAAAATACTTGTTTTAGGTTGATAATAGAGACCATGTATGGAAAATAAGGAATGACATCATCTTGTCATTGTGGAGTTCTTTGAAAGTTTCATTGTTAATTAAGTTTTAAAGACTACCACAAATTGCTGTGTGAGACTTCAGAAAAATAAAGTGGAATGGAAAGAGTCCATTTACTCCCCTGGATTGCTTCACCATGTCCATTAAGCCACAGTTTGCAAGGTCAGACCCTCCCCAGAATGCCTATCTAAAACTTCAGAAATATTGCTCAGCAAACACTTTCCTGGACGGCAATAGCTGGGATAGTAGGATTTCCTTCCCAAATGGGAATTTCTGAAGAGAATGGGATGAATTGTGCCCTGCACTCAGTTAACTTAGACTTTGTGTTTCAGTTCCTTGATAAGTTGAATTAGTGAATTAAACTAGCATTTTTCAGAAATCCTTCCTCTAAGCAGGCACAGAGTTAGCTGTCAGTGTTATCACTGAAAAATGCTAATCTTCCTGAAAAAGCATTTGCTTTTTTTTTTTTTCTTTAGATACAGGATGATTCCTTAATGGCCTCACTGCAAATCTACCCTTCCAGAACTGTTAGAGAAGGCACATTTGTCTGTTCAGAAACAGAATCCCAAAACAAGAGCCTGGAAATAAACCTGTAGAGGCCAAGTCCAATTCTGTGTACTCTCCATTTTTACCACTTAGTCTTCAAACAGGACAGTAGTTTGCCTAAACCCCTTTTTTTTGGGGTTTTTTTTGGGTGCAGAACATGGAGGGTCTGTAAGTTATATTTGCTCCCCTGCTGACTAACATCCTCTGGGCCTTACTCAACGAGAATTTCAAACATTGCAATATAGTAAAATCAGGTTCTCTTAACTATATGCCTCAGTGATTTGCTGAGTCTTGGGCCAATAGATCTACATTTTTAAAATACAGAGGGTTTTGTAAGATGACATCTGAGTCCTTAACTGAACTGGGCCCAGAGTATTTAGAGCTTTCTGTGCATGTTAAGGTGGTACTGACGTGGTTATTTCTCATGGTGACAGGCAATGTGAAGCGTTCATTTGGACATTGACCAATGCTTCCTGACGTGCAGTACAGCCCTTTTCAACCAACCACCAGTCGTGAGTTCCACTTCATCAGAAAGCTGCATGGGACCCCGGGACATGCTGTTCGCTCTGACTGCGTGTTCTACTTGAAATAGTAAAACACTGAATACCCAAAGACGAGGATGTTGTTTTTATAGTACTGGTTTTTTTTCTTCTTCTTCTTCCCTTTCTATGCAACTGTAAATTAATGAGCAGTGGAGTATGTGTCACTGATTTGTATAAATATACAGCCAGGGGAAAAGGGGCAGGGGCTTTATATATGTTCTTTTTGATAATCGTAAAGAGAACTGCATAAGGAATTTGGAGCAAAATGTTACATTTATACATTCCTTTCAGCTCTTTGCTTTTACATTGTAAAATACTCTTAGTTATATTCTCACACATTTAATATTCTGTATTGATTATTTATATGCTAACCATCTGACCACACAGATTTCAGATTACCTTTGAATTCTTTTCAGGATTGGCATATGAAATTCCCATAATCTGTACTATTGTTACCATTTAACAAAAATCGCCGTTAGGTGCAAGCAACAGTATTTTAACTCCATTAAACAAGGTAAACACTCATTCTAAGTCATAATCATCACCCTCACGCACCAAGTTTTTTAACTTTCTTCTAGTTATTTCCAGCCAACACACTCCATTTGTGGAGGATTATTTTTTTAAGCCTTACTTTATTTTGAATCAGGAGATAGCTAAAAAGAGGACTTAGATGATAGCTTAAGTTGTTTTTAGTAAGGTCTACGTTAGTGTAATCTTTCCCAACTTTGTTCAGAGACAAAGCTTTGGTGTTCCCTGCTGTGCCAAACTTGCTTCAAATTTTGGAATTTACGGTCTGTGAAGTAAAGCTGATTTCCCCGAGATCCCCTCCTGATCCTAAACACACCAGTCTTTTGTCTGCCTCTTGGAAATGAAGAGACAATTAGAAAGCCTTTTCCAATACTATTAGCAATGGAACATTTTCTTCAGAACTGCAATGCACTCAGATATTATCATTTGGCATTGTAGTCTTGCAACTCATCTTTACCTTTCAGAACATTTATTTACGTACTTCAAGTAGGAATAATTACGGGAAAGTTACGTCACCG